GTAAGTGAGTCATGAAACACTTCCATAGACAGCTTTTGTTAAGACTACATCCTTCAGTTGATTTTCTGATTTTACGAATAGTAGGCAGATGATTTTATTCTCAATTTTTTCTTGGATGAAATGTCTATCCACTTCAACATGTTTGGTTCGATCGTGTTGAACTGGATTATGAGCAATATCGATAGCTAACTTGTTGTCACAATGTAACTCCATTCGATTTTTTGGTTTGAAACCCAATTCTGTCAAGAGTCTTCTGATCCATAATAATTCACACACTTTTTGAGCTATTCCTCTATATTCTGCTTCTGCACTAGGCCTGGAAACCACATTCTATTTTTTATTTCGCCAAGTAACCAAGTTACCTCCAACAAATGTAAAGTAACCTGATGTAAAGCATCTATCTGTAATGGAACCAGCCCAGTCAGCATCTGTATCCAATAACTTCAAGGTTTCCATTCTTTGAGAACATTAGTCCATTTCTAAAGGATGACTTTAAATACCTTAAGATCTGATCAAATGCATTCCTATGAGAAATACTAGGATAATTAATGCTTAAATTGACTAACCACACTTACAAAGTAAGCAATATTTGGTCTTGTATATGCCAAATAAATTAATCTTCCAACAAGGCGCTGGTATTGTTTCTTATTGGTAGGCACCTGGTCCATGTCTTCATATAACTTGTGGTTCATCTCAATTGGTATGTCAACAGGCTTGTATCCAAGCATTCATGTTTCAGTAAGAAGATCCATCACATACTTCCTTTGAGACAGAAATATACTAGTTTTTGACCTTGATACTTCAATTCCGAGAAAGTATTTCAGAACAACTAAATCTTTCATCTCAAATTCCTAAGACAAATACTTTGCAGTTTCTGTTGTTCTCCTATGTCGTTCCTAGTTAATACCATGACATCCAAATACATGATTAATGCAGTGATTTTTTAGCCATTGCGCTTCAAGAATATGGTATGATCTGAATTACTTTAAGTGTATCCAAAATTCTTAATTGATTTAGTGATTCTTCCAAATCATGCCCTGAGAAACTATTTTAAACCATATAGTGATTTTCTGAGCTTGCAAACTTGATTCTTCTTTTCAAGAGCTACATTACATCCTGATGGTAAATCCATGTAGACTTCTTCCTTCAAGTCTCTATGTAAGAAGGCATTTTTAACATGAAACTGATGTAGTGGCTAGTCTAGAGTTGCTACTAGAAACAATAAGATTCTGATAGTGTTGATCCTGGCTACTGGGGCAAAGGTTTCCTGGTAGTTCACCACATATCTCTATGTGTACCATTTCGTCACCAGTCTAGCTTTGTATCTTTCAATGGATCCATATGCTTTGAGTTTCACAGTACAGATCCATCTGTATCCTACTGTCTTCTTTTCGTAAGGTAAAGGCATGAGCTCTCATATGACATTCTTCTATAGCGCTTGCATTTCTTCATTCATGGCTTCTTTCTATTTTGAGTCTTCTAATGCTTCAGTTACACTACTAGGTTTAGATATGTCAGCCAACTGCTTCACAAAATATGCATGTGATTCGGACAATCTGCTTAGTAATATATAGTGTTGGGGTACTTCCCTTTGGCTTTAAGTTTTACTTCGTATTTTACTCGAGGTTTACCATGATTCGTCCTTTCTAGGAGACGATACGTAGGGATGTCTGTATCCCTTATGCTTTCTAAAATCACATCATCATAGTATATTTCATTAGTGTTATCAATTTTAGGGGAATGTGTTACTTGAATGACGTCATCAGCAAGTGATTGGTGTGATACTGGAGCTGAAGGCATCTCTAGAGCGGGCAAAATCTCATAAAACGATTCAATTTCCTCATCCTAATTTTGGCAGCGTGGATTCAACCGATCACTTTCCACTAGCGACCGGTCGCTTTGAGACAAATGTGCGGTTGCATGAGGTAGGCGACCAGTCGCTTTGAAGCAGAGGCACCAGCTATGGAGAAGGAAAAGGGGGCGACCGGTCGTTTTGAAGCAGATTGTCAAGCTATAGGGAAGTTTAGGGGGCGGCCAGTCGAGTGAGCTATGCGACCGGCCGCTTTAAGGCAGAAAGCAGTCCTGAGGGAAAAAATTGAGAATCTTCAGAGTGAGTGATTCTTCATTCTCCTCCTGTGCGATTAAAAAATATACATCGTATTCCCAGAATACGACATCCATTGAGGTATAAACTTTCTAACTATGAGGATGATAACAATGGTATCCTTGCTAATGAGGAGTATAGCAAATGAAAACACATTTTTCGGGTCAAGGATCCAATTTACTTCATTGGTGATAATGTAAATGTACAAATACAACACAGCCGAAAATTCGGGGTTCCAGGTTTAGGGTGGGAGGTATTTGGATATGGTGGTGAAGTGTTTGGAGTGGTGTTTAGAAATTTAAAATATTGGAGGGAATCCAATTGATAAGGTAAGCGGCAGAGAGGACGGCTGCTACCCTAAGTAACCAAGGCATATTGGCATCAAAGAGAGAGGCATGAACTACTTCCAATAGATGTCTGTTCTTTCTTTCAGCCATTGTATTTTGTTGGGGAATGTATAGGCATGAACGTTGATGTATGATATCATGATCTTGTAAGAACTTGTTAAGATCATGGTTAAGAAATTCTCCACCATTGTTAGAGTGAAGAACCAAGATTCTGGCATGGAAGTGAGTCTTCACCATTTGATGGAACTGTTGAAACTTGGAACTGACTTCTCCTTTAGTTTTGAGAAGGGAAACCCAGGTCATGAAGGTGCAATCATCTATAAACGTGATAAACCATCTAGCTCCCCCCGGAGTGGTAATTTTAGTAGGGCCACAAACATCAGAACAAATAAGAGAAAACAGAACCAAACTTTTATTTGAACTTAAGGGAAAAGGAACACGATTAGGGATGGGCATCGAAACCGAAGAACCGATCAACTGAACCAAACCAAATCAGAAAAAATTGAAAAAAAAAATCTTGTTGACAAAAAAGTCAAACCCAATTCAAAAAACTGAACCGAACCAGTTCCAATCGGTTTCCGTTCCAATTGTATACCCCCCAACAAACCGAATCGGCTAAATTTAAAAATATATAATTTTAATATTTATTTATATCCAATGCTATATTTTTAATCTCATAACTAATATTTACCCAAGTTTAATTTCAAAACATCTCTATTTTCTAGACTTAATATTTCTTTTAGTTGAAATTTGTATAAAAAGATAATTTGAAAAAATAATAATAATAATCCGATTCAAAACCGAACTAGACCGAAATCGATTCAACCCGAACCAGATGGTTTTATAAATTTTTTTGTTAAAACTGGATTGAATCGAACCGAATAAATAGTACTGAATTTGGTTCCAATTTGAGGCAAAATTTGGTCCAAACAGAACCGTGCCCACCCCTAAACACGATAGCTCTTGGCCAATTCACAAATGTCACACTTAAAACTTGAAATATCTAAAATAGTAAATAAGGATGGAAATAACTTCTGTAAATATCCAAACAAAGCATGTCCAACACGCCTATGCCATAACCAGATGTCGTCAGTTCGTTTCTCAACACTAGCACCCCCAATCTTGAAAGATTAACCGACTTTGGCTTTACTATCAGACACCAAGTCCAGGTATTAGAGTTTACCCCTCCTAGTACCATAACCAATCGTCTTACTATTGAGAATGTCTTGAAAAACACAATGAGTAGGCCAAAAGGTTACAGTGCACTTCAAAGCCGTAGTAATTTGAGCAACATGCAAGAGATTATGGTGGAAGGACGGAACAATCAACAAATAATCCAAATTGAGAGAATTAGATAGAGAGAGAGTGAACCCTCGCCAATCATGAAGGAGGGGGGGTACTATTAGCATTAGACACCACTGATTGAGGAGATGATGTATGAGAGGCAATTTATCCAGGATCAAATGTCATATGGTCAGTTGCTCCGGTGTCAATGATCCATGTGTTTTTCTTTGAGGAAGTATTTAAAACATAACCTTTGGTATATATTGTGGTTGTAACTTCCCACATCGACCAACGAAAAGATGTGCCTTATCTGTACATGCTCACCTCCATCTAGCACAAGGCCTTTTGGAAGCTCACTGGCTTCAGAGTCATAGGAACTCTAAAGTTAAGCGAGTTGGGGTTAGAACAATCCTAAGATGAGTCACCCACTGGGAAGTTACTTGTGAGTTCCTAGAAACAAAACTGTGAAGGCAAAGAAGGGGGCCCAAAGAGGACAATATCGTGCTATGGTGGAGCCGATCTCGGGATGTGATAATTTGGTATTAGAGACACTCTGCCGTAGGGTGCAAGTGTGCCGACGATGATGTCAGGCCCCATAAGGGAGGTGGATTGTAACATCCCACATCGACCAACGGAGAGGCGGTGATGTGCCTTATATGTATATGCACACCTCCATCTAGCAAGAGGTCTTTTGGGAGCTCATTGGCTTCGGAGTCATGGGAACCCACAGGGAAGTTGCTCGTGAGTTCCTAGAAATAAAACTGTGAGGGCAGAGAAGGGGACTCAAAGCAGATAATATCGTGATACGGAGGTGCCGATCCCGGAATGTGACAGTGGCTATAGAGGCAGAGGCTGAAGCCGGTGTAGCTAAAGCAACATAACTTACATGATCTGATTCGAAAGGTGTGTTGAGTGATTTACTCGTATTCTTGCGGTGAGCTTTGAAGTGGTCCCACCAATCAAGGTATCCAGTCAGCTCGTAACAGCCAGCACTAGTAATTGAATAATCGTGCATCAATCGACGTGCATTCTTGTATATCAAAAGATCTAATGTGAATCCAATGGATATTATGAAATCGATAGTTATAGAATTATAAATTGGTAATTGAATAATGGCATAAACTGTCTACTTGACTTGTATATCCTATTGATGATTTCAAACATCAAGACTCAAGTGTGCAGGGCTTTGCAAAAAGGAAAAGATGAGAGAAGGAAAAGAAAAAAAAAACAAGAATTATTATTAAATTAATACATTATATTGGCCCATATGAGAAACTTCTTAAATAATTTACCCATTAACCGTTGTCATGAAACCAGGCCTTAGCCCATTAAGTTGCTATTTGTTTTTAAGTACAATACAAAATGATACCAAATGTGTTTGACCAAAAAACTTAAAGACCAAACGAGCGTTTCACCTAAGCTTAGTGGGCTTTACCCACGTGACAATGACATCATTCTTCCTTCTTCTTTTTTATGGATCAGAACACGACGTCGTTCAGTGTGTTTTGAGAAGACCAAAAAAAGTCAGAAATCCTCATCTTCTTCCTCTCGCTAACACAGCGTCCCTGCAACGAGGTAGCCGCCGTCTGCAAATCAAGCAAGTAAGGCCTACCGTTTTAAAGAAAAAGAAGCAGCAATTGCAGGGGTCAAATTTCTTCTCCCCAAGCCATGGTTTCTGGTTTGCAGGGGTCAGTTGACCCCCTTTACCCCAATGTGGATCCGCCGCTTGGGTACAATCTATAAAAAAACAATTCCATTATTCCAAGTTTCCAACAGTACAACTGTTGTTATTGAGCTAAAAAATAAACTAGCCGACCATTTTATTGATAACACAAATTGAAGGCCATGGCAGCGAACAGCACTAATGACTGCCTCCCTTATCAGTACTCAGTAGGTGACCCTAGGATTGAGAGAAGCGTATGCAAGCAGCTCCTCGTTGCTTTCAAATAAGGCCATGTTTTCTTGGCTCAGATTGACCCATGCTTCTATTCCATTGCCATCTCTTTTGTCCATCAAAACAGTTAGATTGTTAGCTTCAACAGGAACGTAGCTCACCCATGATGGCTTTCCCCATCCGAAATCGGCTTCATAAAATGGAAATCGACACCAACTTGAGCAGACATACATGTCTATGTCAGCATTTTTCACCACGTCCATGTACTCTATCATTTTTTCCCTTGCTTTGTTAGAATCGAATGCTACTTTTGAAGCACAACGCTCTTTTATTTCTTCAAGCGCTCCCTTGATTTTTGCAATCAAGTATTTCAAATCTATCACACTAGTACTCTCCCCGGGGTGAGAGTAGTCTGCTACTGAAAAATCCACTAGATTCCCAACCAAGTTTTCTGGCAAGGGCGGCACTGCATATTTACGCAGGTTCATGGGGTGACAGAAGACTGATGACCTTATTAGGCTAGTCCCCAGCATGTTTGATGATGATCTGGATGATGCTTCAATTTGGCATTTCCAAATGAGTGCTGAAACTGCTTCTACTCTTGTTGGTTTGGGCACAACTGAGCTGGCTACTTTAGACTGGAGAGCAGCAATCTTTGAGGCATCAAACACAAACCTCCTTGTCATGCATTTTTCTTTGGCGGCATCCTCTGGTTGGAATGGCGGTGGCTCTGAGTTGGACAAATTTAGTGGTGAAATCAGAGACGCTGCCCCAAATTTGGGAAACATTACCCTTTTTGACTCATCATGAGCAGTTGCAGTCCAACAGTTGATGAATGTGCTCAGTGTTGCGGTATCAGCAAACTTATGCGAAATGCTAAGCCCAATTGCCATTCCACCACACTCGAACAAGTTGATTTGAACACGAAGCAATGTGCCTGTGACCGATTCACTGGACTCATGTTCAATAGCAAGGAATCGTCGTAACATCTCGGGATCTGGGTGTTCCAAAATCTCCGATAGAGAGCACTTGACTCGGACTTTCTCAAATTCAGCTCCATCATCGTTGCACTCAATCACGGCGTCACTTTTGATTCTTCCTGCTAAAGGGTAGAAGTGAGTGAGAGTTTTACTTAAGGATTGCAGCAGATGCTGACATCTTTCATTGTTAGTAGTAGCATCAGCATTTGGATAGACGAGAAGGAGTGAGAGGTAGATTTGAAAAGCGTTCTGATCAAAAGGAGAGAGCTCATAATTTCTAAGGTGATGAGGAGTTGGGGAGGAGGGTTTAACTGTTTGCCTCTCGATAATTTCAACCTTGATTTGTGAGGCCATTTGTGATGCAAGTAGAAATGTGAGTTTGATCGATGGGGTTGGAGACTTGCACTCAATTGAATATATAACTAATACTATTTGTGGGCATGGGAAAGGGCGGAACCATGAGATTTTTAATGGGTTTGCTAGCTAAAATTATTAGTTAAAAATTTATGATCATTTTTTTTATGTACTTATAATTTCTATAATATTTTTATAAATAAAAATATACATTAACTCATATAAATCAAGCTAATTAAAGACGGGAGTCACCACACAACTTCTTCTGTGAGTGATTAGTTTAGTTAGGGGGAATTTTATGAAGACGAGACTAGTAGTTTTGATTGGTGGCTCCAGCTCAGAGATTCTTCGGACCAAAAAAACAAAGCTGACAGATCTTTTGTCTAGGATTTAAAGGCTCTCATAGTAGAAGAGTTGCTAGATGGGATTGTTTATTGGTTTATTATTGTTTTTATAACACATGTTCCGTTGTTTTTAGAACACATGTTCCAGTCATTATATGATTGATGTAAGATTTCAGATCTGAAAGAATACCACGCATTGATATTCTTTCATTATTGTATCAATACGGAGCAGATTAGTTTAAGAAACTTCAAAGTCTCTCCTAATGAATGGCCAAGATGAATACTTACTCCCCGAGTTAAAAATAACGGTCAAAAACCAATGTGTTAGTACTCAGTAGGTGACCCTAGGATTGAGAGAAGCATATGCAAGCAGGTTGGTTTATTAATATGTTAGGTGTGATTTTTGAACCCAAAAAAAATGTGTTACCAACTTCTTGTGTGAGTGATTAGTTTTGTTAGGTGGGATTTTATGAAGACGAGGCTTGTAGTTTTGACTGGAGGCTCTAGCTCGGAGATTCTTCCAACCAAAAAACAAAAGCTGATATATTCTTTTAGCTAGGTTGCTCGTAGTATATATAGTACAAGAGTTGCTAGATGGGATTGTTCATTGGTTTATTAATGTGTTAGGTGGGATTTAAATGCTTGCGGACAGATTCTCTCAGGACATAACCTGATAGATTCTATAACACATGTTCCTTATAACACATGTTCCATTGTTTCTATAACACATGTTGCTTATGATACATGTTCCATTGTTTCTATAACACATGTTTCGATCATTATAGACAGATTGGTGTAAGATTGCAGATCTGAAAAGAATACTACGTATTGATATTCTTTCATTATTGTATCAATACGGAGCAGATTAGTTTAAGAAACTTCAAAATCTCTCCTAATGAATGGCCAAAATGAATACTTACTCCCCAAGTTAAAAATAATGGTCAAGATCGAATCTTGCCTCTACAAGTTAGTGTACATTCGGCTTGCTTCACGTTCTATTCTTTTATTTGCAAGCTCTGTTTTCTCTTTAGGTGACAAATGTGTATATTATAAAATTTGATGCTTGGTCAGGACAAACTTGTTTTCTTTGAGAAAATTAATTTTTTGTCAATAACTTTCAATTGTTTAACGATATTCACAATGGTCGAAATAAGGCCCATACCATTTGTGCCAAGCCAAGATGGAAACCAAATATTGTGTTTGATAAATAAATGACATTGATATAACCATTATTTCATACAAAAAAAAAATTTCTCTCTTAGATTTTTGAATGAAGTTAGTTCATTTTCACTTAGTTTTGTGTTTTATTAGGTTTGGAGAGTAAAGATGAAAAAAATATGCAAAAGGAGCAGTTTTGGAATTGAAAGATGCTTCGCTAGAATGTCATGTGCATATCAGCCAATGTGATGGAATATACTGTACTTTCTCATAGAGAACCAGATGTTAAGCCTTATACCGTTGAAAATATAAAAATGTTAGCTTTATTTAGAATTTTGCATTTCGTGATTTAGACATGTGTGGACAGAGTTGTGGTCATTTTCTTACATTCGGAAAGAAAGTGTGTTTTGCGGGTTTTGCAAAGTGATTCTTTTAAAGTTCAATCCTTGGAGTCCAATTTGTGTCAATTGCATTTGAGAAGTGTCTAAAAGTAGGGTTCGTCATTGGGCCGAGCCGAGGTTTCATAGAACTTGGCTCGATCCAGCCTATTGGGCTGGGCCGAGCCACCCACGGTCCTAGACATGCCGGGATTTTTTATATATTTCTTTCTAAGTTATGTACATTTTTGTTGTTGTATATTTTTATCACAAATTTTTAGACAACAATAAAAAATAATAATTTATTACTTGTGGGGAAGACAATTGCTTTTTTGTTGTCATGTTGACGCAACATGACAATTGATTGACTAAACCTTAGCCTAAAATATGTAACTTTGGAATCCACCAGGAAGATATGAGGAAACCTCAAGGTTTATTTGATAAACTGGAATAACAAAACATAACCCTAACCACGAGTAAAGTATGCTTAAATACTTCTAGAAACTCTAGGAATAACAAAGGAATTAAAATAGGAAAATAACAAAGTTTCCAAAAACTGTTGAAACTTTAAAACTGGATTTCATGCTAGTAAATGATCTCAGATGTCCAAAAAAGCTCATATATTATACTAAGGCAATGTGTTTTATTCGTGACGCCGTTCTCTACGAATTGACGGGTCATTGGCCCAATTCTGAGCTCGGATCCCAAATCTGCAGTTTACCCGATTTACCCTTGCCCGTGCTTCACTCTAGCTCATCTTCAATTGCTTCTGCCATCTATTCTACATCAGATGTCACCGTTGAAGATCTGCAAAGAATACCATGTATTTCAATATAAAAAAATGAGAAAAGAATACGACGTACTGATATTCTTTCATTATTGTATTAATACGGGGCAGATTGGTTTAAGATGAGGATGACTAGTATATAGTTGAACTTCAAACTCTCTCCTAATGAATGGCCAAGATGAATGCTTACTCCCCGATTAAAAATAACGGTCAAGATCAAATCTTGCCTCTACAAGTTAGTAAACATTGCCCTTGCTGCACGTTCTGTTCTTTTATTTGCAAGCTCTGGTGTATCTTTAGGTGCCACAATGGCTTATCATGAGGGTGACAAATGTGTATATTATAAAATTTGATGCTTGGTCATGAGAACTTTTGTTTTCTTTGATGAAATTACATTTTTGTCAACAACTTTCAATTGTTAATCATTCACAATGGTCGAAATAAGGCCCATACCATTTGTGCCAAGCCAACATGGAAACTAAATACCGGGTTTGTTTAGAAATGTCACATGAAATTATACATCAGTTTCAATTTGTCACTTTAAAGAAAAATTTAAGAAAAATGCCACCTTAATTTTTCAAAATTCATGATTTGTCATCTGACTTTAACACCATTCAATTTTCCATCTTCTACGAAATGATATATTATTGCATGGCAGTCTGCTGGTGGTACCAAATGATATATATACCGTGGAGTCAGATGTGATCCACAAAGAGGAAGATTCTCTAGCCTCTGAAGATAATGTTGTGGCAGAAGATTAGAGAGTTGGGGAAACTTGGTCCTTGTTGATCTAATTGTAAAAGACAGCTGTGAAGTTGAGCCTTTAATTTATCAAAATTGACTTTTCATAGCCACACCATACAATAACTTATGTTACCACCAGCAGACTACCATGCAATAATATATGTTGCCATCAGTTATGCACATTATATTATTTTGGACGAACATGGTCATTCTACTCTTCCCAGTTTGCTTGTGTCCACCATTGGACAAATCAAACTTTAAGCAGGATTTTCTTTGAATCTGTTTTTCCATTTTTTTTCCCTTATAAAGCCGGCTTGGCTCTCCTTCTACCCTTTAGCAGGACGGATTCTCAATCAGTTTTGATTCTCAATCAAACTGATCTTCAGTTACACAATCAGTTTTGATTCTCAATCAAACTGATCTTCAGTTAAACAATCAGTTTTGATTGAGAAGAGGAAATCTCTCTAACAAAAGGTAACGCCATGATCGAATGTAATGACGATGGAGCTGAATTTGTCAAAGCACAAGTCAACTATTCTTTATCAGAGATTTTGCAACAAGCAGATGCTGAGATGTTAAGACGATTACTTCCAATTGAACTTGAGTCCAAAGAAACAGGCACAGGCAGATTGCTTCTTGTACAAGTCAACTTGTTTGAGAGTGCTGAAATGGCAATTGGGTTGTGCATATCACATAAGGTTTCTCTAACTCATCACAGCCACCAGCCAAGGAAGTCATCGAAGAAAAGTGCACGAATACGTGTTTGATGCCTCAAAGATTGGTGCTCTCCAATCTTAAGTAGCCAGTCCAATTGTACCCAATCCAACACGAGTAGAAGCAGTTTCAACACTCATTTGGAAATGTGCAATGGCAAGCATCAACAGAGTCTTTTACAATCATCTCTGTTCCGTCAAGCTGTGAACTTGCCCAAAAGGGTTTTGCCACCCTTGCCAGAAAACTTGGCTGGAAATGTTGTAGGATTTTCCATATCAAAAGCTGAAGAAAGCGCGATAGATCTAAAGGACTTGGTTGCTAAATTGAGGAAAGGGACTGAGGACATGAATGAACATTATGGCAAAATAGTACTATTTGATTCTAACAAGGCATAGCAAGAGATGGAAGAGTACAGAGACATGATAAATTATTGCAGAGACAGTTATGCCTGCACAAGTTGGTGCAGGTTTTCGTTCTATGAAGTCGATTTTGGATGGGGAAACCCATCATGGGTGAGCGTTGGCTAGTATTAAACTTAAGAATATGATTCTGCATTCTCCGAGATCTGACCCTTTTCTCTTATTTCTTATTTCCTTTAAAATCGTCAAAAGATCTCATCTGCTTCTAAGAATTTTAATCCAATGGATATTATGAAATCGATAGTTATAGAATTATAAACTGGTAATTGAATAATGGCATAAACTCTCTAGTTGAGTTGTATATCCTATTGATGATTTCAAACCTCAAGACTCAAGTGAGCAGGGATTTTCTTAGAAGCTCTTCCCAATGTATCCTTTGTTGAAAATTTGGATCTGCCCGTTGGGTCCCACTCTAACAACACCGATACTGTCCCCACTTTACCACCCGCCCAATCCGTCAGGTGTGAGGTTTTTATCACAAAAGGCCTCGGTATTAGTTAGAGTGTGGTAATTCTATTTAAACCCATTTGTTTTCTTTCACCCCACCGATGTGGGATTCCAACATCCTTAAGGTTGAAATCATTGAGAGGCAAACAGTTAAACCATCCTGTAGCTCACATCCCACTCCTTCTCTTCTATCCCAATATTACAACAGTTACTATTAGTAAGGTCACTACTAGCCATCATGAGTCATGACCAAGCCATGGCCATGAATGAAAGATGTCAGCATCTCATTCAGACATATCCAAAGCTCTCACTCACTTCTACCCTTTAGCAGGGAGATTTACTGAAGGCAATGCCACGATTGAATGCAATGATGACGGAGCTGAATTCGTCAAAGCCAGAGTAACTGTTCCTTATCAGAGGTTTTGCAACCCCCAGATATCCAGATGTTAAACCAATTCCTTCCAACTGAAACTGAATCCAAGTTAGCAGCTGCTGCAGGCGCAGGCCCATTGTTGCTTGTGCAAGTCAACGTGTTTGAGTGTGGTGGAATGGCAATTGGGTTCCGAATTTCACATAAGATTGCTGATGGCTCCACAGTATGCACATTCATCAAATGTTTGGCCACAACAGCCCTTCAGTCCCGCAACAGCGATCAGGTACTAGCGCTTGCAGAATTTGGTGCTGCATCTCTTTTCCACCACTAGATTTCTCTAACTCATCACAGCTGGCACCAAGCAAGAAATTCGTCAAAACACAAAAGTGCATAACAAGGAGGTATGTGTTTGATGCGTCAAAAACTTCTACTCTACAATCTAATGTAGCCAGTTCAGTTGTTCCCAAACCTACATGTGTGGAAGCGGTTTCAGCACTCATTTGGAAATGTGCAATGGAAGCATCGGGATCAAACTTGGGTATGTCTCTAAGGCCATCTGTGCTCCGTCACGCTGTAAACTTGCGTAAAAGGGTCACTCCGCTCTTGCCAGAAAACTTGGCTGGGAATGTTGTGGGTTACTTTACATCAAGGGCTGAAGAGAGTTTGATAGATCTAAAAGACTTGGCTGCTAAAATCAGGAAAGGGAGTGAACAAGTGAAAGAAAAATATGCTGCAAAAGTAGGATTTGATTCTAAGGAGACATGTCAAGAGTTAAAAGACTACTACAGAGACCTGATAGATAATGAAGACATAGACAACCATAACTGCACAAGCTGGTGTAGGTTTACTTTCTATGAAACTGATTTTGGATGGGGAAAGCTGGCATGGGTGAGCTTCGCTAGTTTCCGATTAAGAATGTAATTATTTTGATGGACAAAAGATATAGCAATGGAATTGAAACATGGTTGACTATGAGCAAAGAATGCATGGCCTTGTTTGAGAGCAACTCGGAGCTGCTTGCATATGCTTCTGCAAATCCAAGTGTCACCTGGTGACATAGAGCCTCCTCTGCTGTTGTCTATGTGTATTTGAATAAAATGGTAGGGTTTTAGGTTTTGCCTTCTGATGAGAGCTTAATTGTTGTCTTGGTGCATAGGATGATCTTGTCTTTGTAATGTGGTTTAAAAATGTGATCCTTTATGATCGTTTTAGATGCTTTGGATCTTTCACATCCAAAGAATATTAATGATCAACTGACCTCACTATAACCAGAACAGAAGACAAAAAATTTAGAGAATATATTTGCACTATATCAATTGAGATTAATCGGTGGTTTGCAACGTCACTACAAAACCCATGTGCCATTAGATGAGTTTTACTTTTAGGATTTGAGGAGTGGATAGATTAAATCACACTCATCCAACACTATCGTGATGCTCATGATCATGGAAAATAATGTTACGTAAATAATGTACAAAGGTTTCCACTTCGTCCTCCACAGTATGGCAATGTTAGGTAAATAATCACAGTTTGACTAATTCGTACTATAATGGAAAATACTTGCATCATGCCCATGTAAGCAGGAACTAGTACTCTTGTCAATCACAGTTTGAAATGTGTACAATTTTGTTCGTGTGTGTGTGTGTTTTTAATAAATTATTTTACATGTGTCAAACGGTGATTAATTTACATGAATGAGGCAAGCAATGTCCTAGGGACTGCTACCTATATAGCACAGCCGCCTAATTGCTCCTGTAATGAACTCGTACTGTCCAGTTGACTTAATTGTATCCCAGTACAATTGGATAATCAACTACAAAACTCCACAAAAGTGGGTAGTTCTTCAATGTAGAATGCTGGCCTTTTCCTATAGAGAATGCTGACCTTTTCAAACGCAGTTCTTCAATGTTTAAGGCAGGCCATGCCGCGGTCTAATATTCATGACATTATTTTCCACACTTAACAGTATCTACTATCAAGATAGCCATAACAACCAAGCAACTGATAGGGACTGCTACCTATATAGCACAGCTGCCTAATTGCTCCAGAAATTAACTCAACTGTCCAATTGACTTAATTGTATCCCAGTACAATTGGATACTCAACTACAAAACTCCACAAAAGTGGGTAGTTCTTCAATGTAGAATGCTGGCCTTTTCCTATAGAGAATGCTGACCTTTTCAAACGCAGTTCTTCAATGTTTAAGGCAGGCCATGCCGCGGTCTAATATTCATGACATTATTTTCCACAGTTAACAGAATCTACTATCAAGATATGGCCACAAAGCATCAAGGTTGAAATCTTTGAGAGGCAGCCAGTAGTGGGGCTTTTGCCTACAATTAATGTAGCTCTAGTTATATTCAATTCAATGTAGAACCCGATCCATTATAAGGTAGACCAGCCCCATTGTTCCAATTCACAGTTTGTGCTTGCATCACTTGAAATCAAGGTTGAGCAAAATGGCCACAGAAATCAAGGTTGAAATCATCCAGAGGCAAACAGTTAAACCATCCTCCCCAACTCCTCATCACCTTAGAAATTATAAGCTCTCTATTTTGGATCAGATGGCCCTTCAAACCTACATCCCAATCCTTCTCTTCTATCCCAATGCCGCTGATGCTACTAGCAACAATGCCATGGCCACCAATGAAAGATGTCAGCATCTAATGCAATCCTTAGCTAAAACTCTCACTCACTTCTATCCTTCGGCAGGAAGAATCAAAGGTGACGCCGTGATTGAATGTAACGATGATGGAGCTGAGTTTGTGGAAGCCCGAGTCAAGTGTTCCTTATCAGAGATTTTCGAACACCCAGATGCTGAGATGTTAAGACGATTCCTACCAGTTGAACCCGAGTCTAGAGAAGCGGGCACCGGCACGTTGCTTCTTGTTCAAGTCAACTTGTTTGAGTGTGGTGGAATGGCAATTGGGTTTAGCATTTCTCATAAGTTTGGTGATGCCACAACATTAAGCACATTCATCAATTGTTGGACTGCAGCTGCCCATGATCAGTCAAATATGTTAAAGCTTCCCAAATTTGGTGCTGCATCTCTGTTTTCTCCACTAAATTTCTCTAACTCAGAGCCACTGCCATCCGTGAAAGTCGATAAGGAAAAGTTCATAACAAGGAGGTTTGTGTTTGATGCCTCAAAGATTGCTGCTCTCCAATCTAAGGTAACCAGCTCAGTTGTGCCCAAACCAACAAGAGTAGAAGCAGCTTCAGCACTCATTTGGAAATGCAAAATTGAAGCATCATCCCGATCATCATCAAACACGTTGGGGACTAGCCTAATAAGGCCATCAGTCTTCTCTCACACTGTGAACATGCGTAAAATGGCAGTGCCACCCTTGCCAGAAAACTTAGTTGGGAATCTAGTAGATTTTTCGACAACCAACTATTCTCACTCTGGAGAGAATTCCACACTGATAGATTTGAAAGGCTTGGTGGCAAAAATCAGGGGAGGACTTGAAGAAACAAAAGAACGTCATGCTGCAGTAGTAGTATTTGATTCTAACGAAGCATGGCAAAACATGAAATGGTACATAAACCTGATGAAAAATGATGACATAGACAAGTTTATCTGCTCAAGTTGGTGTAGGTTTCCATTTTATGAAGCCGATTTTGGATGGGGAAAGCCATCATGGGTGAGCTACGTTGCTGTTGCAATTAACAATGTAACTGTTTTGATGGACAAAAGAGATGGCAATGGAATAGAAGCATGGGTGACTCTGAGCCAAGAGAACATGGCCTTATTTGAAAGCAACAAGGAGCTGCTTGAATATGCTTCTCTGAACCCTGGGGTCACCAACTGATAAGAGAGCTGGCCAATAGTACGTACCGTCCTCCTCTGACATGGTTGTGATATCAATAAAATGGTAGGCTAGCTTTTGATAGCTTGCTTGTTTTCTAGCTCAATAAAACAGTAGAATTGTTGGAAACTTGGAGTCAAGTGAATGTTCGATCTAAGAGTTGAACAAGTTTGAATGCTTGATTATGTATTAGCATTAATGGAATCAATTGTGAGATCTATGGTTGTACTCTACACTCGTAGAGTCGTA